TCAAAATCCTGGTTTTGCTCAGCTTAGTTAACAAAGATCTGAAAATGGATGATTTTGGACAACTGCTTTTGCTCCTTAAAAAATTAGCATTTTCCAAACTAAAGCAAGTAGTGAACTTAAATTTTGATAATCTGGACGAACCGCATTACTCTAAACATATTGATTTTTTCTCAGAAAATATGCAGAAGCATGATTTTTGGCAGCTGAATAAATATGAGGCTCCCCATAACCGTTAGCACCCAACTTCACTTTAAAAATTCATAAATTCGAAACAAATCCAAGCAGCAACTTAATGGTAAAATTCCTCAAAAGCCAGCTCCAATCGCATCGCATCCTCAATTTCGCTCAATCTTTGAACTTGCAGCAACATGTTTGTTTGTTCCAGTGATGCTTCTCCTTCCTCTCAAACCGTCTCCTCCAAATGGGAGGTGGCGTGGTCCTGGTACTTGTCCAACACCCGGAACTACATAGTAGCAATGATCGATGCCCGAGGCTCAGGATTCCAGGGAGTGAGAATGAGGCGAGAGATACAGAGGCGAATCGGACTTATCGAGGTCCAAGACCAATTGGCTGTTCTGACGTATCTCCGCGATACCTTCAAGTATATCGATCGGGAGAAAATCTGTGTGGTTGGCAAAGGCTACGGAGGCTACGTTTCGGCCATGATGCTTCTTCAGGATTTCCACCAAGTGATCAACTGTTCGGTCAGTGTGTCGCCGATTACCAACTGGAGATATTACAGTAGGAGGGGTTTACTTCAAAGCCGAAAAAGCCTGCTAAGTTTCTCCTGATGTTGCAGACTCCTTCTATACAGAGAAGTACTTGGGGCTCCCCTCGAAGCATCCATTGGAGTACGATAACGCAGACTTGACCCTCAAAGCGGCCAACATGAACAATCGGAACTTTTTCCTTATCTATGGAACGGCAGACACTCGAGTCACTTCGCAGCACGCCGTAATGTTAGCAAGGACACTGATTGACCAGAATATTCTATTCCAGCAACTGGTAAGTTTCAACTGCTTTCAGCAACCTCCACTCAACTGGTTGTTTCAGGCTTACCCAGACGAGTCCTACCACTTCAACCAGAAGGCACTTCTTCACATGTACAAAGAGATCGACTTGTTCTTCAACGATTCATTCGGTCCGGTTATCGATCAATGGGTCGAAGACACCGGATTCTTCATTTAATACTCGGCCAGGCCACTCACTCTTGTCCTCATTTCCCTTAGATTATCACAGACGTTGAAATTAGCTCTTCCAAATGGGGTGTTGCGAACACCGAAAGTATAACGTGTACATGCCATGCCAATGCATACCAAAGATATTTTTGATAACCGATTGTGAATCGTAGATATTCCTAAATTCGCTTAGTTTTGTATAGTAAAATTAATTCCATAAATGTGATATTAATTTTTATATGTATTGTGTTATCGTGAGTGATCTTACACATGATGGGCTTAATGGTAACGGTTAATCTACCGAAACAACACTGGCCTTGTCACCTAGAAATGACCAGATTGAGATCATGTTCTTAGTCTCAGTTATCACATTGAATACATCGAAATTCCATTGACGAATTTCGTTCAAGTAGGAGTAGTTGATTTGTGGGGCAATTTAACGCTGGAAAGTCGCGAGCCCATTGATACTGTACTGGAAACTTACGGATATTTTGATACCGAAAATAAACCATGGTCTTATGGTGTAGATTATATGTTTATATGTGCCTAATTGTATAGCTTTATTAGGGAAAGAGTTTAGTTAAGGACGGACTTTTATGCGGAAAATTGGTTCGAGGGCGCCACTTTTCAAGGCAACTAGTATGAAAACCAAGGAGTGTTTTGCAAAGGTCGCAAGAGTCAAATCTTCCTAATCATTGATGCTGGACAAAATTGAAACTAGAGCAAGCAGCAACTTGTAATTTTCACGCCCGTTTGCACATACTTGAGTCTCAAGATTCGGGAGTTTTTATCAAAATCATATAAATTCCTGATTTTTGCCAGCTTAGTAAATGCAGTTTACGCACAAAAAGCACTCTCTCGCATAAAAATTTCTGCCTGCCGAACGAGAGGAAATAAAAGCTTGCAATTTGACGCGTTATCACACAGTTGCTCCTAGCTACTGTGGAATTTTCACCTAAATTGTGCATAATGTTGATTTTTGCTAGTTAGTGAATATTGGTGTCAAATTGCATGTTTTCACCCAACTTCACTATCATTTAAAAATTCGTCACTACCGAACAAAGGCAGTGACGGAAGCATTAACGAAACCTTTGCAAAATATTTTCAAAGAATTTCGATCAAAAGACTGGGCAATTTTCATCGAAGGCGTGCGAGATCCGGACGAAAGCAGGCAGGATTTTTGGCTGTCTTTAACAAAATTGCAACTTTGAAACTGTATCAATGAAATCTTGGGTTTTTTGGCCGTTATTAGCCTGTGTGTTATGAGCTTTTTATCAATATCGGCAATAACCTTGATTTTAGCAACTAAAAAAATTATATTTCCTATCAATCACGCGCTACAATTTCAAAAATGTATAACTTCCACCCCAGAGCAAGTACCAAGTCGAAACTTCCACAGTCGATAAAGAACATTTCGCCCTCAGCAAGGTGCAGTTTTCAGTTGAAAACAGATAAACTTATTTTTTTTACAGTTTTCGTTACTTGCGATTGGGCAAAGCAAAGAGTTGCTTTGAATTGCTCTGAATTTTCTACCGATTTTATGCAGACTAACGAAATTTTCATTTTTATCAAGCTGTTTGGTATTGCTGTTCCCTTCCAACCACACATTTATAATTAAATTAACCGAAACGAGAGCGGGCAGGATCGTGTAGTTTTTCCAATCTTTTGCATACACCGGGGTCTAAAGATGGTAGCAATTTCTTCCAAATGGTTGAATATCCTGATTTTTTCCAGCTTAATAACCGTTGGTCTCAAACAGCATATTTTCACGCAAACTGCGCTCTCAGCCCGAAAAATTCGTAACTGCCGAACTGAAACAACTAGCAACTTGAAAATTTCACGGTCTTTAAAAACTTTTGAAGCGAAACTCTTTGAATTTCCTCACACGAATTGGAGATCATGATTTTGGACAGCTTTGTAGAAACTTAAATAAAAGTGGAAGTTTCCAGTTACCTGATTTTTTTTTGATTTGCAGCTGGGAAACTGGACCAAGTGGCAACTTGAGTTTCTCGGCGCTCATTGGACAAAACTTCTGTTTACATATTTTAAACTTTATGAAAATAGCAGCGATAATCTCGATTTCCAGCAACTTCCTAAATATTGGTGTCAAAATTGGTGTTTCCGCTAACCACGCGCTCCAACTTAAACATTTATAACTTCTATGCTAGATCCAACAGGATCTTGCAAATTTTACAGCCTTTCGCATACACATCAGTCTAAAGATTGTAAAAGTTTCGTTTAAATGGTCAATAATCCTTGTTTTCGCTAACTTTGTAACGGTTGGTCTCAAAATGCATCTTTTCACTTAACTTCTCAAGTTTAAAAATTCATAACTGCCGAACCAAAACAAGTAGCAACCTGAAATTTTCACAATTTTTTGCAAATTTGAATCGAAACACTGTGGAATTTTCATTACACGAGTCCAACATCCTGATTTTTGACAGCTTTGTTTTTGACTGTATTTAAAAAATTGCAACTTTCAAACTGGAGTAATCAAATCTTGAGTTTTTTGGCCGTTATTACTCTGTAAATTTTTGAGCTTTTTGCCAATATCGACAATAACCTTGATTTTAGAAACAAGAAAAATTATATTTCCTCTCAACCACGCGCTCCAACTTCAAAAATTTACAACTTCCTCATCAGAGCAAGTACCAAGTTCAAACTTGCACCGTCAATAAAGAGCATTTGGCCCTCGGCAAGGTGAAGTTTTCAGTTGGAAAACAGATAAACGCGATTTTTGTTACAAAAAGTTGCTTCGAATTGCGCTGAATTTTCGACCGATTTTCTGCAGACTAGCGAAATTTTAAGCGAAAGAGAATGAGATATCTTTGCAGTGGAGATGTTTGCTTTCTTTCGCAGGTGGTTGGATGTAAGGACAGGCGAGGCCGCCCTACGTCAAGTATATTTACAAATTTTGTTGTTAAATGTTAAATAATTACAAATAATATTGAATATATTGTATGTGTTAATAACAATTTGTCTACTATATGTGCATTGTTTAGAATGAAATAAATGGCTCATTTATATTGAATGTTGTAAAGCGTTTCATTCTGAACGAACCAAGAGTCCAATGTTCCAGCCACTCACTTGGAAGCGATTATTTCAAAATGAGATTAATCAATCGTCAAGTACCAATACATTTTATTGATTAAGTTCGATGATTTCTCATTATCCGCCGGTTTCGATTAGTCTGCCCTGTACACCTGCACTGATAATACCGCAGGTGTTTCCAAGATATGGACAATTTGGTAAATATTCCTGACACTGTTTGATCTGAACAGGCCCAAACAAGTGAAAATGATCGGTGAGTTAATTTCAATCGATTCATATAATGCAGCAATCATCCTCAAGAGGAACAGCAGGTGCTTGGCTTAAACGTTAATTTCTCTTAGGCTTCTATAGCAAAATATGGTACCTCACGGCATTTTTGCTAGTGGATGTGCTGATGGCGAGCAGCGACCTGAAGCCTTTCTGCAGTTTCTTGCATGTCTGCAATATAGACGATAACAGCCATGGGCAAAACTGTGTAGTGCCAAGTGAGCCAGAAAAACTAAATCTCAGCGATCCGGCTGCTATGGCAGCCCAATCGAATCTTCAGCAATACTGCTCGTTTCTCTTCGAAAATGATACCAGTGAGTGTATTTTCGAGTATTGAATGTAAAAAAATTGGCGATAGTTGAAGCAACTTGACTCTAAAGCTCTGAAAGTGCAACTGACTCTCCATATGAATAACCCAACAGCACTCTCTGCTTTAAAATGTACCTACATCTTCGAAACAAAGGGGGCATGCACTTTTAAAAGAGCTTTTTAGGCAGGTTTAAGAACAGTAAGAGTTTCATTAGAATCGCTTAGAATTCTGATTTTTGCCGGCTTAGTAAATGTGGGTCTTAAAATGGGTGATTTCTCCGAACGGAGCTCTCTTCTTCAAGAAGTTGCAGCTTCCAAACTAAAGCAGCGAGCAATGTCAAGTGTACCCCATTTTTTCGAAAATGGAAAGCTGCAAATTTCCTGCAAAAATTGTGCAACATCTTGACTTTTGCTAGCTTAAAAAATGTGGGTCTCATAAATGATCATTTTCTCCAGCTGCGCTCCTTCTTTTAAAAACATTGCCAACTTCTACCTAGAGCGAAAAGCAAATTGGAGTTTTCACCGTTTTTAGAAAACACTTGGTTTCCAAGTTAAGAAAGATGCCATCAAAATCGCCAGAAATATTCATTTTTGCCAGGTTAAGACCATCAAACTGCACTCTCTCGCTTCAAAATTCCTAGCTACCGAACGAGAGAACGAAGCAACTTGAAATCTTCACAGTTCTTCGAACAGAACAGCATCTAGAAATTGTGAAGTTTTCGGCCACATTGTCCGCATGAATGATTTTTGCCAGCTTAGTGAATATTAGTCTCAAATTGCATGTGTTCACCCAACTGCACATTCTCGCTTAAAAATTCATAGCTACTAAAGGAGGACAGGTACCAACGTGAAATTTTCAAAATCTACTGAACACATTTCGGTCGAACGACTGTGCACTTTTTAACAACAAAGTCCAAGAATCTGCAGCGTCAATTTTTAGGAACTCAGGAAAACTTCAATTTTTTTAGCAACATTTACTAAGCTGGTAAAAAATCCTGATATTCCGCAAATTAAAAAAAATCCAGTAAAGATTCCAACATCTTTACAATGCTGCTTGCTTTACATTCAAAAATCTAAATTTTTGAAGGCGACAACGCAGCTCGCTGAAGAAAATTTCATCATCTAAAGAGTCGAGTATCTGCTAACGACGTTGAAATTTTCAGATTGGTAGTTGCTTTCTTTTGGAAAATGTAAATGTTTAAATGAGAGAGTGCAAACATCAATTTTCAAACCAACATTTACTCAACTGGAAAAAATCAGAATTTTGGGCCACTT